AAAGACTGCAATAATTAAGAGCATACTGAGGAGTAACGTTTTATATTTATTTTCTCGATGTCTTCATGGCCTTAAGGGCTCCTAAAATTCAAACTAAGGTTGAAGATAAATGATTGGCAAATCCTCATTAATCACATGGTATAAACTGACTTGTTTTCCCCAGACAGTTCTAGCCAGTCTTCAGTCATGGCTGAAGGGTGAAAACATTCAAGGCCCCCTTTGATGGAGATCATAAGGTCAAACTTACAGGTGCCAATTTGTTTTGTTTTTTGTGTAAATATTTTTCAGTCGATAATTAGAAATTATTTTTACTAGCACCAATATAGAATCAAGTATTGCTGTGAAAATTGAAGATAAGGATTTAATTTCAACCATGAGTCTATATCATGTTATAAAACACTGCTACAGAACAGTGGTGATGGGCATAAAAGCCATGAATCAGTGAGATGCCCTCTCTGATGTGTCTGGGTTTTTATACAATTATCTCATACAAAAGCAATTTATTTAATAACAGCTAAATAAGCCTTGGTGTATCACTGACAGTACACACAACTTCTGGTGCTTTATCTTTGAGAGAGGAAAACATGATACAATGGTATTCAGATACGAGGTGAACTATAAATAATATCAAAATGAAAACATAAAACACAAGTTAGAAATCAGACTCTCTCTGGGCTCTGCAAACTCTATAAGCATACCAAGACGTTAAAAATACAGTTTAGGGAATACAATTGTAATTCTGTAGATTTCATCTCAATGTTCAGTCATATTGATTACTCAAACGCCATGGCAACCATCATACAATGCGATCTACATCAGTAATCTGTATTGCCATGCAAAGAGATTTTATGAGAACTTTTAAATTCTACTCTTTGTTATGCAGAGATTTATACAAGATAAACACAACATGATAAGCAGTTTAAGCCTTCCATTACCAGCCAAGCTAGTATAATACGATATACAGACTAAATATAGATATATGTACAGTATTTCCCTTGAGGTATTGAGTCACATTTCACATTGAAATTCATAAAAACTAACTACACCAATACCTGGTACATTTTTAACAATAAATAAATGCTTAGTGATGAGATCAGAATAAACTCTTACTTTTGAAAATATGGAGCTACTATAAATTTTAAATGAACAAAATATGAACAAAAAACTTTGATTTTAGAGGGCAGAAAATATGTGATAGGCAAGTTTAACTATTTTTAAGATGGTGAACACATTTTTAGAAACTTAAGTATATGTTGGTTTTGGTGGTTAATCAAGCAGTGCCATAGTTCCTATACGAGAAGCTTGTGTAAGCAGAGCATGTTTGGTTTGATTTAATTTGATTGTGACAATCCATCACTGTCACAAGAAGGTTTACTAGTTCACAAAAATGTCAATTTGGGACTGTGCGTTTTAGTTGTTTCCCTGGCAATCAAGACTGAGCAAACGTATATCATAAGCAAATACATACATGCAATATAAAATATAATTATACTTTTTTTAGATTTCATTTTTGTACCTTTCCAGCCAAAATAAAGTATCATAAATTTTGGAGTAGAAATTTAATCATAGTTGATATGAGCCCAACAACGAGTGCTCTCTTGTGGGTTGGTCAGTTATAGAGGAACAAAAATCATAAATATAATAACTATATTCATTGCATAAAAAATATGCTAATTAGTTACAATTCATATGCAAATCAGCCATAAAACAATAGTCAAACTGTTTCCAGACAGATTTATCTGTATGGGCATATCACATCAATCAGCAGATTCAAAGCAGTGAAATATGTGCACAAAACAACATGGGGGCTAGTAATTATTTGAACCATGATAAACATCCATTCAGCCTCATTGCATTGACTAATACAATCAAAATTGATGTGTACATGGGTTTCATTTATTACACCAAATACTGAGCCAATAATCTATACATAGTAGATACTGTGCCTACAAAACTGCACACAAAAAAACTGATGACTTCAAAACAAGGTTACTGAAAATTGATCATAAATTGCATCTATCCAGCTGTCAGTTCACTGTGATACATGACAAAATCTATATATTATGACTCAGTAGGAGCACTGCCAGCACTATTAATTTCTCTTGACAGTACCCATTGCATGCTGTCTGTTTTCTCATATTTATTATTTTTTAGTAGTAATCCTGAGCAAGTTCAAAAATACACATACTCATTCCACCTTCTAAGCAGGGAGCAGTGAGTAAATAAATAAATACAGTCAATTTATACATGAATGAAATTCCCAAGAAAGATCATAGCAAATATGAATTCCTGCATGGATTCCCCACTTAGATATCTGCAATAATTAATTAATACATACAACCTTTGACCCTGACAAACCACTATGACTATCAAACAGATTGCTAAAAGCTTGACACTTATTGGTTGTTGACAGTTGCAAGGTTTTCCACCAATAATATAAATAGTTGGTGACTGTTTCCTCACTACCCACAATGAAATTACTTTTCCTAAATGGATCATGGTAGACTGTTTCATGGCTACCCACGAAAATGTTTTTTTTTTTTTAAAATATGCATCAATCATTACTTACCTGGATAGTAATCATTAGATTTGGAGAGTTTTATATTAGCACCTGTTTCCCGTTGTAACTGTACAACTGTCTGGCCACCTTTCCCTATAACAGAACCAGCTGCAGCGCTTGGTATGAGCATTTTTAATATATATTTATTGTCATCATTACCTGTGTGGAAAAAAAGGAAAAAGCAACCATAAGCCATGAATCTGAGCGGAAAGCACTCTATATCCTGCCGTCAAACCAGCCATAGCAAATAAACGCATTGAAAGCTAAAAGCCTATTGATGGGGCTCGCTTCCCTTACAGAGCCGCTGAAATAACATGAGCATTTAGGACAACACAGCAGGATGTGCAAACTACTCAATATTTGTATACCATTTTGTGAAATGCCATTGCTGCAGAGAGACGAGATTTAAAATCAATGCTGCATGATTTAAATATCCAAGCATAATATTATTCAACTTTTGGAAAGGTGCGATCTTGTGATTTAATACAGCAAATACGATACATGTTTTCCTTTAATCAAAACATGGTGATTACTTTACATAAAAACATAAAACAACTATACAGGAATGTAATTTATATCTATCATTTGCTTACTAGTGACCCTGCAGGGAGAATTCAGGCACTGCATATTGAAGAGTAAATGTCTACTGGTGAAATGTGATGATAATCAATCAATAGTTACATTGCAGGTACCGGTACTGTCATGTTTTCAGACTAAACACTGAGAGCATGGCTTGTCAACTTTACCTAGAATTTACAATTCTAATTTAACATTCCAGCTAAATCTACCTGACCTAGAAAAGAGGAAGCCAGTACAAAAGATATGTACAGGTGAAAGAAGCTATCCCTCTGGTATCTTAAGCATCATCTATATATTTCTCTGCTTGATTCAACCATTTGAGTAATTTGTTTCCTACATTCATGTATTTTACCAGTCCAAGAAACCATTAATTTGTTTAAGTATGAGTAAACAAGACTAATATAGAAGGCTAGCAGCTTAGTGCCAGCCACAATTGGGAGCAAAACATATGCATGGGTGAACATAAAGATGAAATTGTGTCCGCCAAGCAGGTCTTGACTTCAATCAAAGTCAGTATCATGTATGGTAGTTGGAATTGTCCAAGTTTTATTTGTAATTTTTTCTTGTAAATTCGGGGTGGTTAAAATAAATCAACTGAAAACAGTTCTCCAAAGTACATGTTAACTTTCACAAATCAGATAATAAAAAACAACCCATGCACAATAATACAGACTTTGGGAAAAAGAAGTTGTATTTTAATGATCAACTGTAAAACAAATGAAATATTTGGTTTATGTGAGTGAATATGGTATACAAATTAAAATTTCTAGCTAAGTAAGCTGAAATTATTCTGTAGCCAAGAACTTTTTGTGAACATCTTGAACATTAATTCTGTCTGACAATTTATTTTGGTTCAATGTTTTAGTTTCTTGGCTTTGACATCACAAAATGTATTAATTCAAAATTTGCATCACATGTTATTATAAGATTGACCCAAGACAACTGGGAATAGCCCTAAAATCGATCTGTTTCAAAATAATTGCATCAGCACAAAACAAAGATGATAATGTTACCAATACAGGAATTTGTGAAGTTTCTTTTTCCCAATGACTAGGGTCAGATTGCAACATTCTGTTGATTGTTTATTGCATTTATGTTCTGAGAGCAGCATTAATCATAAGCTTCAGAATTTATCACCATTTTCGATGATCATATGGTGAGAATTCTAACACTTTTCAGGAATGTTACTCTTCATTAAACCTGTTGAAACTTCCAATGGAACCAACTCAACATTCTTTATTAATCAGAATAACTTTAACCTTAGCTAAATTATCATTTTGAACTTAAACTTAACCTTAAAACACTACTCAGCTCAGCTTCATTAATTATCTGTGATGTCAAAGTTGCCAAAGAAAACACACATCATGAAAGCTTAATCTCATCATCTGAATAAAAATTTAAAGAAAAATAACATAATAAACTAGGAATGGAAATGAGCAGTGGACAAGAAAAATAACATAATAAACTAGGAATGGAAATGAGCAGTGGACAAGAAAAATAACATAATAAACTAGGAATGGAAATGAGCAGTGGACAAGAAAAATAACATAATAAACTAGGAATGGAAATGAGCAGTGGACAAGAAAAACAAATGATTTTCACATGGTATACTTGTGTCTATAAATAGTATCAACTCTGAGGATGAAAGCATGTATCACTGATAAAGGCTCCATGCTGCTTTTTTACTCAAAAAATCATTTAAGCAGAGGTGATTAGGAATAAGTTGTTATGTGAATGTAATTTTAAAATACTTGCTGAGTAATATTGAAAATAAACAATTATCATG